GTGTGTGTGTGTGTGTGTGTGTGTGTGTGTGTGTGTGTGTGCACCTGTGTGCACATGTATGTGGAGGCCCTTGGACAGGGTTTCTCACTGGCTTGGATTTCACCAAGTAGGCTAGGCTGTTTTTTTTTTTTCTTTTTTTTTTTTAACCATGTAATTTATTTTTATGTGTATGAGTGCATTGCCTGCATGTATGTGAGTGCACCCATGTTGTGCAATGCTGCGGAGGTCAGAAGAGGGCCTCAGATTCCCCTGGAACTGGAGATAAGGTCGGTTCATAGCCACCATGTGGGTGCTGGGAATCAAACCCAGGTCCTCTGCAAGAGCAGTCAGTGCTCTTAACCGCTAGGCTGGTTTTTTAAACATGGGTGCTGGAGATCAAACTCAAGTTCTCATGTTTTACCACAGGCACTTTAGCGACTGAACCATCTCTCCAGCCCACTTAGACGACCTTTAAAAATATAGTAAATTAGGGGCTGGAGAGATGGCTCAGTGGTTAAGAGCACTGACTGCTCTTGCAGAGGACCTGGGTTCAATTCCCAGGCCACATGGCGGGCTATGAACCATTCTTGACTCCAGTTCTAGGGGAATCCGAAGCCCTCTTCCGACCTCTGCGGCATTGCATGACACGGATGCACTCACATACATGCAAGCAATACACTCATTCATATAAAATAAAAATAATAAATAAAATAAAAAAAATATAGTAAATGTACTTGGGAGGCAGAGGCAGGCGAATCTCTGTGAGTTCAAGACCAGCCTGGTCTACATAGCGAGTCCCAGGCCAAGGACTCTCAAAAAGACAAGAAAAAAATAATACAGTAAATCATGTCTAACATAATTATGGCCGTGTGTGGTTATGTACTTCTATTACAGCACTAGAGAGTCAAGGCAGAAAGATTGCTGCAAACTCAGGGCCAGCCTGGGCTATGTAGTGAGACTACCTCAAAAAAACCTGCCAATCCTCCTACATAAATTTACTTCTTTAAGCATTTTATAATGCACAATTTGGTGGCGTTTAGAGCAGTCACAGTACGGGGCGCCTCATCTAGGTCCAGGATGCTTGGTCATCATGCAGTGAAGCCTGTGCCCGTCACCTGTCTCTCCAACCCTCTCCTCAGAGCCCGAAGCCACCAGTCGGCACTGTCTCTAGCATCACGGGGCCCATGGGCATCGGTGCCATGCAGGTGGGCAGTGAAGGCCTAGGAGAGCTTGCACAACCAGCCCCAAGAGAGCAGGCTTAGGCCCAAAGTGGGAAGAAAGAAAGATGCTTGTGGTGGGGGAGGGAGGTGGGCTGCGGCTATCTAATCTTTGGGGAAGTCAAAGAACAGAAGTCTGGGGGATGGCACCGTGGGTAAGAGTACTTGTAAACCCAAGTTTGGATCCCCCAGCATCTGCATAAACAGCCTGATGTAGCTTCATGTGTCTGTGACCTCAGGGTTGGGGTGGGTGGCGGAGACAGGAGGATAGCTGGAGCTCGCTGACCTGCCAGTCTAGCTGAAAGACGGTCAGCTCCAGGTTCAGTGAGAGACCCTGTCTCAAGGGAAGAAAGAGCAGCTCAACTGTGGAGGGCATCTGGCAGCTTCCTCCACACATACGAGGATAGGTGCAAGTGCGCTAATCACGTGTGAAGACGTAGACACATA